CCCTCCTCCTGCCCCTGCTCCTCCTGCTACTGCTACTCCTCTGCCTGCTTCCCTCCCCCGTCTCCCTTCCTTCGTCCTCTCGCCCTCCCCCTCCCCGACCCCCGACAAAAACTTGAGCAGGGATCGACCGTCCCGGCACTCGTGTAGTCCTACCACGAAATGTTCTTAGAACCCCAATTTGTTCTAAGAACAAAAACAATGTTCTTAGAACGTACACCCGATGCGGCAAAACAAGACAAGCTCCGCCAGGAATGCTCTGAGAACATTTCGTGGATACCACAAAAGGTTCTTAGAACATTGTTTGGTAGTCCTATAGGCGAGCCAAGACACTTCGCCACTGCTTGAAAAACATCGGCGCCCGCCTTCCCCGTCCGCGGCGCTGTCCTCCACGAGCCACGTGCCGGGCGCCGGCTCCTATGAGGCGGGGGCTGGGGAGGGAGAAGTGGCTGCACAGGATGTCGTGGCAGGCCGTCCTCCTCCTCCTCCACCTCCTCCTCCTCTTCCTCCTCCCCTCCTCCTCCTCCTCCTCCTCCTCCCCCTCCTCCCCTCCATCCTTATTCCTTATTCGAATATACTCTTACTCCCCCTTCTGGCCGGCCGATAGCGGCCCCATCCGGGCCCTCCCATCCTAACTATAATAAACCAACACAAAATCACATTTGTTCCGCTCAACATGGCCCTTCTTGTCGTCGACGATACGAAGTGCGTAGCAGGAACAGGACGCGGCGCACATCGCGCGTGGCCGTCAATCTGGGCCCTCCACATCCTAACCGTAAAAAAATCAACACGAAGTCGTTGTTAGTTCTCTCAACATGGCCTTTCTTGTCGCCGGCGATGCGAAATTCGTAGCAGGAATTAAACGCGGCGCACATCGCGCGCGGCCGTCAATCGGGGCCCTCCCATTCCAACTGTGCCAAAAACAATACCAAGTAATTGTTTTTTCTCGGGGCATGGCCTGTCTTGTCGCCGGCGATGCGAAATTCGTAGCGGGAACGGGACGCGGCGCACATCGCGCGCGGACGTCAATCCAGGCCCTCCCATCCTGACTGATAAAAGGTCAATGCGAAGTCTCCGTTGTTCCTCTCAGCATGGCCTGTCTTGTCGTCGACGATGCGAAAATCGTAGCAGGAGCGGGACGCGGCGCACATCGCGCGCGGACGTCTGGAGCAACCCCACGCGGGAGCGGCAATCCGACCTATCAAAAATTAATACAAATTCGACATGTGTCTTCTCAGCGAAGACTTTCTCGTCGTCGGCTTTGCGAAATGCGTGGCAGGAAAGGGGCGCGGTGCACATCGCGCACGACAAGGCAAGCTGTCGCTCCCGCTTCGGCGCCGCGCGCATGTCTTCTGAAAGTTGCACTCCCGCTAAGGTGCGGCGCACATTTTTCGTTCGCCAATTCGTCGAGCGCCTGAGGCCCCCTGGGGCCATTCAGGGAGGGTCTACTGGTACATCCTGGGGCTGCCCGGGGCTTCCCCAGGGCCTCGCGGATCCTCCTGGGGCCTCCTGAAGCATCTTGGGGGTTCCTGGGAGTCCCTGCGGCACCTCCGAGGGCTTCCTGGAGCCTCCTGGAACCTCCTGGGGCTTCCTGGGCCCTCCTGAAGCATCTTGGGGCTTCCTGGGGTTCGCTAGGGCTTCCTGCAACCTCCTAGGGCCTCCTGAGGCCTCCTGGGACCTCCTGAGGCTTCCTGGGGCCTCCTCGGCTCGTGCTGAAGTGCCATCGCAGTCTTTGAGACGCGCCAGGGATCTCCCATCGGTAACCACCATCGCGGCTGCATCAGCTGTGGCAAACCACTTTGCCGATCTGACTTCGGTCCCAGATTGCGTCGACAATGTTTCTTATGTTGCGGGATGGCGGGTGGGAATGGGCATGTCATGCTTGACTCGCTCGAGCTGGCTAGCTTGACTCCCTACTCCTACTGTCCCTCCCTCCCCCTCCCTTCTCCTCTCTCGCCTGCCTCCCCTCCCTCCTCGTGCTGCCACTCCCTCCGCCTCCTCCTCCTCCTCCTCGTCTTCCTCCTCCTCGTCCTCCTCCTCCTCCTCCTCCTCCTCCTCCTCCCCCTCCCTCCTCCCCATCCTCCTCGTCCTCCTCCTCGTCGTCGTCCTGCTACTCCATCGGATGAAGGCTCGTGGACGTTCTTACAACATGTGCCCTCCACAACTGCACGATATATGAATAGTGTCTGTCCTTTTTCCCCCGAAAGACGCCCCGAGAACGCAAGCCCCCCCTTTCCGCGTACAGCGCTCCCGCGCAGGATGGACCCGAGCTGTTTGTTGTGCGTCGTTCCAGTCCGACGGCTCTCGGTCCTCCCAGGCCTCCCCCTATAAGAAGTCAGGAGAATGAACATGAATGGGGCCCTGGGACACACATGTTCCCCATATTTGTCCTACATGTTCTGGGTTTGCGTCTTCCCCCCATCGTTTTCCTACAGGTTCTGGGTTTGCGTTCTGCTTTCGGTTTTCCTAAGAAATCAGGGGAACGAATAACAGGATTCCACATAGGTTCGTACATGTTTTGGGTTTGCGCCTTCCCCCCCCACCACTTCCCATGGTTTCCCATATTCCTGGAGGAATCGAGGGTTCATTGCGCCTGTGTGTGCTTTGTTACCCCTCCTGAGAACAATGGCACAAACAGAACACCTTGGAGGTCCGCGCGGACTTTCCCGGATCCGCGCCGGGCCCGCGCGGGCCTCACCTTAGGATCGGGGCGTTGCTCCCATCGTCGAGGCGGGCCCCTGCTGGGAGACGGGAGCCAGGCCCTAACATAGCGCTCTTGCCCCAGCGCCGGCCGCGGCTTCTGGATCCGAGGCTCCCTCCTCATCGCGGGCGCCCCCCTCATTTCCCCTGCTCCGCCTTTTTCCCTGGCCCGCCTGCGTCTCCCGCCCCTGCGCCTCCACTCGCCGTCCTCCCTCCTCGTCCGCCAGGTCCTGCCTGTCCTCCTGCTGATCCGCCACTTCCTCCCCTCGGGTGTACGCAGCTCCCCTGTTCCGGTTGCGCACAACACGATGGGGTTTGGGAGTTCCAGGTCCGCTATGACACGCGCCTGCGGGTAGAGGAAACACGGCGCAGCAGAGAGGGTTGGGTGGGAGGGACGGATGTCGGAAGTGGCGCGAGCGCAACTAACTTGACAGCCACACATTCGGAACACTACTCTTCCCTGTTCCCTCGGCTCTGTGCGGAAGACATTCGGCCCTCTTCGCGTACTGATTTGTTCATACACGGATTTCGGTGTTTCAGTTGCTTTTCCCGCTGCAGTGCGGGCATCACTTTCGGATCGGCGCTGTGCTTCCATCGTTCAGAGTGGCGCTCTCGCCTCAGCGAGGGCCACTTCTTGTGAAACCGAGTCCTTCTTCATCGTTGTCGCCAACCTCTTTTCTCCTCCTCCTCCTCCTCCGCCTTCCCCTGGTTCTTTGCCTTCCCCTGGTCCTATTCCTCCTGGCCCCCCAGCCCCCGCTACTGCTGCTGCTGCTGCTGCTGCTGCTGTTGCTGCGGCTGCTGCTGCTACTGTTCGTCCTCGTTTGCATTATTCCTCATCCTCCTCGTCCTCCTGTTCATACTCCTGCTCACCCTCCAATCCCTCCCCCCTCTCCTATGTACGCAGCTCCCCTTCTTTTTGGCCTCAACGGCTCACCACACAAGTGACCACACCTGCCATTAGTGGGCGAATGGCAGGAGAAACTGGAAATAAGCACCTGCAGGCGCCGCCTGCAGATAAAAATCGGCAACGCGGAGAGCATCCTGAACACGGAGGCGGGCGCCACTTAGGTCGCAGAGGACAGCAACCTGAGTCCCGACAGCCTAGGAGCCGAGGATACAAAGCACGGCCGAGGATAACATTGAGAATCCCTCCACCTCGGCGGTACCCCAAGGCTCGGGTACAAGGCTGGCTGCGTAACCAGCACCGCCAAGAGGAGGGAGAAAGAGGTGTGCGGCGCGCCTTCCCCCTGAGGCGGGGTGCCTGACACGCGTGCAGAGCATACACGGATGCGCACACACCACACACACACACACACTCGACAGGCTGGCGGTACCCCAAGGCTCGGGTACTGGGACAGTCTGCGTAACCTGCACCGCCAGCCTGAGCGAGAAAACGCAAAGTGGCTGAGATAGCCACCAAAAGAAAACCAAATCGACCACCCATCCGATGGGGACTTGTTTGAAATTCTAGGTCGGCTATGACACGCGTCCGCGTACAAATCCACGTAGAGAACAACTATCTTGGCGAGGGACCCAACCATATGCACATGTGAATGACGTGGTGTGGGTACCGCTTTCGGGGGAGCTCCCCATGGGGCCATGAAGCGCGTGAAGGTGTGCCGAAATGGGTGGGGGAGACGCATGCCGCCTTAGCAAGCGGCGCCCTCGGTGGAACTCCTCATGTGGCCACGAAGCGCGCGAGGGGTGTGCCGTGATGGGCGGGGGAGACGCATGTGGCCGCAGCCCTTTGGGCCTTCGGTGGAGCTCCGAACGGGGCCGCCAATGGTTCGAGGGGCGTGCCGTCATGCGTGGGGGAGACGCCATGCGGACCCTGCCGCCGGGGCCCGCTGCGGAGCTGCCCACGGGGCCGCGGAGCGCGCGAGAGAGGTGCCGCAACGGGGCGGGGACGGCGCTCGCCGCCGCGGTGACTGGGCCACCGGGGCCTCTTCGGCCACCGACCCGCACACCGATCACAACTTCGGGCGCACACTGACACGGATCCGTGATCCGTGAATCGGGTGCGTGGGCGCCAGATCGGGGAAGGCACCCGCGACATACAGGCCTCGGACAAAAACAACTAGCGAACACTCATGCCACATTCGTCAATGAACGCCTTTCCGCTCCCCCAATGTTCAAAGTTGGTGGTGGGTCTGATGAGTTGGACCTCGACCGCAGTCTCCCCCCGCGCGTGCCAACTTTGAGTTTGGGGGGCAAAGAGGGTGTTCACTAAGTGTTTCCCTCTACCGTATGAGGCCAATGCCGCGTCACCTGGCGACGACGCGCGACGATGTCGTATGGAAGCGGGGCACGTCGCAAATCCACGCGCCTTAATTCGTGTCAGCGTTCCCTCGACAACTATACTAGGGAACCGAACTCTATACACCGACGCTTTTTCGGGCCCTGCACTGAAACTCTCACAAGAAAATGGATCCTGGTGTATACGGGATGCTGGTGTATACATGTTCGTCATTTCCCCCGGAAAACTGGGAAACAACTATACACCACACCACCCCGACGTCGCCCATGACCCTCAAACAGTCCAGGTATTGAAGAACAACACGCCACTGGTAATGTAGATGTTCCAGTTTCCCATATACAGCTTCCTGATGGAGGTGGGTCCCGCCAACCTCCTCCCGCGAATCCTTCTTGAGTGGCGATCGCCACGCAGGGACACCGAGGGGCCGTCCAGGGAGACGGACTGGCCCCATCGCCCATCGCCAAGGAGGAAGGACAGGAGGGAAGAGGAAGGCACGGAGAGCAGGAGACGGCCCTTCTCTCTTGCTCGGGCCCCGCATGGCTCACGGCAGGCTGCCGTGCTGCCCTCGCACCACGACCCTGGGGAGAACAATGGAGGTCTCTGGTCACAGCGATTGGCCACGATCATACTCCGCGAGCGGTTGCCCCAGGTCGTTGAACGCACACCACCCCCGCGCCACCCCGCCAGACAACACGCTCTGTCCGCCCGCCGTGTGCCAACGCCACCCCCCAAAGATACCCACGCCTCTGCTCCCGCCCGTGAGAAAGCTCCACCCCGCCAGCCGCCAGCTGCATCCCCACCCCACCCCACCCACCCAACCACCCACCCACACACAAACACACACACACACACACGCACGCACGCACGCACGCACGCACGCACGCACGCACGCACGCACGCACGCACGCACGCACGCACGCACGCACACACACACACACACACACACACTCACACTAACACACACACACACACTAACACACACACACACACTCCATGCCGTCATACCTCTCTCCAAAACGGAACAACATTACATTTGTTTTGGAGGGTGTGTGCGTGTGCGTGTGTGGCACGTTGGGGGGAAAACCTCTCGCCTCCCCCCAACAACGCAGTCGCATGCTGGCGGCAGTGGGCGAACAACACGCGGGGCGCCCGTGCTTTCATTCTCATACCGTGTGCCCGTACACTCGCGGTGGCAAAATCCGACAATGGGGGCAGTAATTATTTGCAGGCTGTCCCCCAAGGGACGAGTGGGGGAGAGGGAGATGGGGGGGGGTAACATCTTGATTGCTCCTAGTCTACATTATGAAAACAATTTCCTCGAGAGGCGTATGAGGCAATGCCGACGTTTCGGGCGCGCCAAGAGCCAGAGCGGACGGCCCCACATGCATCGGCGGTCCCAATTGCCCGGCGCTGGCTCCATGGGCCCGGCCTCCACCTCCACCAGCACCGGGAGCACCTGCGGAAAGGGGCTTCCACCACACCGTCGAAGGCAACGAGTGCGAGAAGGACCACCATGGGAAGTACAAGGGCGCTTTGCCATGCCAGTGAGCGTTCAGAAACTATGCCAACGCGTGAGTTGTGCCAAATGCTCTTACCCCGTTGAAGCACCTCGAAACAACATAAAACAATTAATACACTGCTCCACCTGCCGCTGCAGCATTCACCCGTGTGGTGGAAGAGAACACGCGCCGACGCTCGCCAACAACTCGGGCTTGCTGTGAACTCGGTCCCAGGGAGAGGGAGGTGGAGGACGGAGGAGGCAAGAGCTGGGGTGGATGGGAGAGCAGGGAGAACGAGGAGAAGGAGGAGGAGGATGAGGAGGGAGGAGGTCACCCTGCGTGGCACTAGGGATGAGATGGCTAGCCAAGCACGCGGCAAGCATAGCGGTTGAGGGATGGCATCAGGCAGCGTTCTGATTGGCACCATCGCCCCGGCCATCGCAGCCAGGCCGCCGTCCATCACGGGCACCATCTGTGCCGCATCCCAGCCAAGCGCGGGCGAGAACGCCGCGGCGTCAGGGTCTGGCGACGGGGGGAGGAGGGACACTAGCGGTGCGCCTCTCTCAACACTGCTACCATCTGTCGGAATCACCCACAGGAGCACAGCCCAAGGGTACTCAAAAGAAACTCTGGACGGGGAGGGCCGTCGGCTCCAGCAGAGCGATGGTTCCGAACCCCAGAACCGTCGCAGCAGATCCCAGAGCTTGTGCACCAGCGTACTGGAGCCGCCTGCGAAGACGTCCCCGAGAACTGGGATGGGACTCCGCAAAACCAAAGATTACTACTGCTTTCACCAGGCCGTTCAGAAGACTTGTATGTCAGCAGCGGTTTGCTGTTCCTGTCTACTCGGCGCAAAACTGGGAGGCACAACCACATCGCCACCAACCCATCCCGTCCACCGCCCCCCCCGTCCTCCATCCTGCCTGCGCACTCGAACACGTACGAAAGTCTCGCGATTATGCCACCATCAAAGGGTCCACCCTGCGAGAAGGCCTCCTCCTCCTGCTCATCCTTCTCCTCCACCTCGCCGTCTCCCTCCCCCCTCCCAACAGAAACAACATCTCAGATGGCTCCCCACGTGGCGCCGACACTCTGCCAACCCTACCCAGGTGAGGGTCAGCGGGGGGCACGTGATGGCCTCAAGACGACATCGAAACGCGGACTAGATCGGAATCGTACGGACAATGCACCCGCAGCATCTACGTGTCCTCGATGCCTCGATTGATCGGTCTGGTAGGATTTCCTTCAGAGCAGAACCTAAAGCTTCATCTGTCCTCCTCCTCCCTCCTCCTCCCTCTCCTGCTCTTCCTCCTCCCTCTTATCCATTTTCCTTCTTTGTATGTACTCCTACTCTGCCACCTGGCTGGCCGATGGCGACCGGTTCGGCCGCTGTTGGGCAAGCGGCCTGCTGTCTCAAGTGGACACAGGCCGCGGCGGCGCGGACAGCGAATCCTGTTCAAAACGAGCAGGAACTGCTGCTGGGCATCGTGCCCATTCTTTCCGCACCCATCTCGCTCGCGCAGAAAAAGCTTCGAACGACAGAACAACAAGTGCTCTCAGAGCAGGATCGGGAGCGGCCAAGAGGGGGGTGTCCAAGAGGGGGGGTGCAAACCATGACCGGCGGCATGTGCGCGGCCCAGCGGGGGGGACAGGGACGTCATGAAATAAGAAGAGGCGCCATGAAATCTGAGGAAAGATCATGGCCGACGCCATGATGTCCACCCCCCCCTAGTCATCACCCCCCTCTTTCCCGCCCCCGACCGGAGCGGCGGCTCCGCCCTCTCCCCTCCGCTCCCTGGGGCCGGCCGCGCGCCTGGGGCCCCGCTCTGGTCTTCGCCAGAGGCGGCGGCCACGGAGAAGCGGTCGCGGTAGCCGGCGTCGACCGGGGCCTGCGTGCGCCCCCGCCGTGGGGCGCTCGGGGGTGTGCAGCGCGCGGCACCGGAGCCGGACTGACGTGGTCTCCCTCCCCCGCCCTCCTGCTCCTCCGCCTCCTGTCGGAGGAGGCCAAGGGTACGCATGTCGCCACCCTGCCCTCGTCTTCCACTGTCTGCCTCGGTCGCCCTCCCCTCCCCTCCCCTCCTGCTCCTCTCCCTCCCTCCCCTCCCTCCTGCACCACTGTCTGCCAGAGCCAGAGACTCGGTCTCCCTCCCCCGCCCTCCTGCTCCTCCGCCTTCTTCGGGGGCCCCTAAACGGTGCGGTGACCACGCCGTGCGGTGAGTCGGTGGGGAGTCGGGGTCACCGCACGGTTTTGGGGCTCGGGTCGCTCTCCGAGGACGTCTCGGGCGACAAGGGCCTCCGAGGTCCCAAAATCGTGCGGTGACGGACCGCGCGGTGAGGTCTTGGGGGATTTCGAGGTCACCGCACGGTCCGTCACCGCACCGCTTCGGGACTCCAAACTTCTGTCGGAGGAAGAAAAGGTACCCATGTCGCTACCCTGCCCTCGTTTCCCCCTGTCTGAGCCTCCTGGGAGGTCCCCGTCGCCACCGCTGGACTCGCCTCGAAACTCTGGTGCCAGGTCTCTGGACGAGCCTCTGGAGGCCTCCGAAGAGATCCGGGGTCAGGACCCTGGGCGGCAGCAGAGCCATACCATCCAGGTGGTTCCAACGTCGGGCGCTTCGCGCTGCGCGGAGCGCAGCTGCCTTCGCGCCCCATGCACCGCCCACAAAGGGCACAGAAACAGCCCACCGCTCCTGCCCAGAGAGCGGAGAGCGGCTGTCTTCGCGTCCACGCGGGTGGTCCCGCCTGGTTGTGGGTTCCTCCAGTTCTCTTTCGATTCTGGATGTCTCCAGAGGACCTACTGCGGTCTCATCTGCAGATGTCCGTAGAGATCTGTGGTGGCCCAATCAGGGCAAGAAGCGTCTACGCGAATACATGAACCACCTCAAGCCTCCTCCTGCCCCTCCTCCTCCTGCTCCTCCTCATGCTCCTTCATATTCTCCTCCGTCTGCTAAAGAAGACAGCAATGACAGAAACGGGGAAGTTCTTAGCCCTACCCTTGTCCAGGGTTTGTCGTCGACAAACCGCGGAAAGCCGCTCCATCGACATTGCTGCCGACGTCTGGCAATACGACATTGATTCTCTCAAGGGTCAATGCATTAGCGCGCGCATTGTAACCAAGTGGCAGACACATTGGGTCGAAGGACTCGTCAGTTTAAACTCCAGACGTTTACGCACAAATGACGAGCGGGTAAGATGAGCGCGCAGGCGAATCCGACAAGAGCAGAGCAGCCCGCGCAGGAACATTCCAGCATTCCAACGTGCTCTGAACCTTATGGGGCACTCAAAAGCATGTTCTCGAAGCCAGCTGAAACCCTTCTACCGCATTCTAAAGCAATCGACTGCCTTCTACAAATCACTTAATATCCTCTCAGAAGCCACCACCCTGCAAGACTCCTGGAACCCTCTAGAACGCACTTGGACATAGTAGAACCCTCCAAATAAACTCTGCACTATCTTTCAAACACCCCATGTCTTCCCGGGCACCCGAAAGCGTTGAAGACAGTCTGGGTCCATGTGGCGCCGGCTTGAGCCCTCTTGGGCTTCTCAGAGCATTCTGGAACCGCCCATGGCGGTCTATAAACATGCTAGCTTGTTGTAGAGCACTAGGTCATGCTCGAGAGCACCATGGCGTAATATCTAGCCCCTTTGGACTCTGTACAACCATCCAAGGACTGACTACATCTTATTTAGTCCTTTGCAGCAAACTAGAAGTGCACTACAAGCGGGGGGGACGAATAGTATAGCGTATAGCTTAGGAGGGCGAGGAGACACACACACATATATATATATATACATACATACAGGGAGAGAGAGAGAGAGAGAGAGAGAGACGGTAAGGATAACGATGAAGAGAAGGGAACGGGATATTGTACTCTTCTAGAACGCCGAGGGACTCCACAATCCCACGGCTGCTCCTCCGCCTCCTCTTCTCCTCCTCCCTCCTCTCCCTTCTCCTCCTCCTACTCCTCCTCCTGGATGGTCAAGGCTCTTGGAAGATCTTGGACATTTGCGCCCCCTTTTGCGCATCCGGAGGCCTCTGAAAGTTCCTAGAGGTTGCAACACATGGAGGCCTCCAAAAAGCTTGGAAGACCTCGGGGACCCTTGGGGACCTCATGCACTCAGGACACCCGACATTCGCCCTACTGGACCTGGAATGATCCCCGAAATCAAAGGTGAACGTCGGGAGCACCCTCCTCCTAGAAGCAGGCTGGCGACCCGCGCAATCGGTAACGTCCCAGCGAGGGCGAACCGCAATCGGAGCAAGCCTTCACTAGAATATGTCATATTAGCAGCGTGCACGCGAAGGCACGCCCTGTCGAATCCAGTGCCTGTTTGTATTGAAACGCCCAACCGCGCGAAGACCTGTACCTGTTCCCGCGCGATGATAAACGTTCGATGCAGTCTCTGACCGCTCCAAGGCGTGCCAATCCAGAGTCGGGATCGCTGAGGGTCGAATGGGGCTTCTGAACGCTGGATGGATTGTGATCCTCGCCATGTGCTGCCACACAATATCCCCTTCCTTCTCGTCTTCCCCCTCAGCTTGTATATCGGCTTCCAATTAGGCACGTGGGCTTGCGACAGCAGGGTGGCTGTGGCTGCTCTCCCTCTTCTTAACGATCTCCCCGCTGCCAAGCCAACGGTGTCAGAGAAAGAGAGGGAGAGAGGGAGAGAGAGAGAGAGAGATGGAGACCTAAATCAATCCATCACTTGCTTCTGCGGACTCGCTGCAAGCCTCGTGCATTCTGAGCAGACTCTGTGATCTTCCAAGGCTTCCAGAAGACAACAATGACGTTCTTGCAACAACGTAGAGACACGATCGCCGTCTTCGTCAATACTCCGTCTTCGTTCGTACGTCGATGTGCCGGAATCTCGAACCTCCCAAAGTTTCCTGAGACCCCACATGAGAGAGCAACTCAATGTGCCAGAATCCGCCACCGTGCCCACTGGCACGCTGAGGCGTAGTAGCGGGCTAGGTTGCCCCCGAAAGAGCCACAAGAATACTTCCAGTAGGGCCAGACAAAGCCCAAATCATTGAATTCACTGGATGTTGGACGTGTGTTTGCATTCTCGCCTCGGGCTTCCGTGAGCACCAGACGGCCCCCAAAGCTTCCAATCTGGCCCCGAGACGGCCCTGGGGACCGCCAAGAGGGCCCCAAGGCCGCCCAATAGGACCACACGGTGGCCCAAGAAGCCTCTCAGACGGCCCCAAGACGGCCAAGAGGGCGTCTGGAGAGACCCAATGCAGCCTTGGGGGGATATCGACGGCCCAAGACGGCGCCAAGCTTGCCCCACGACGTCCCCCCAACATGGCCAAGGGGGCACCACGACGGCCCAAGAGAGAACCAAGACGGCCTGAGAGGGCCCGAATACGGCCCAAGAGGGCCCGAAGGGACCCACAATATTGCCCCGCAGGAACCCAAGACAGCCCCAAGACGACCCACATGGGCTCCGAGAGAGCTCCTGAAGGTGTCACATGTGACGGTCTTCCCCGTCCTCCTCCTCCTCCTCCTCCTCCTCCTCCTCCTCCTCCTGCTCCTCCTGCTCCTCCTCTTCCGCCGCCATCTCCTCGTCAACATCAGCATCCTCGTCATCCTAATCATCCTCATCACGGCTCCCCGAAATCTTAAGACGCGGGGCACGAGGTGCCATCCCTGACGGCCTCCAATGCCCCTCGAACAGTCGCCATCCAGAATTTGCTGGGCTGGAACGGTGGCAAGACTTCCAGCAAGCAACTGGACATTGCTTGATCCTGGACATCACGCAGACGGGGCAAGGAATCCACTGTATGCGTGAACTGTGCAACCAACACAGCCTTGTACACTTTTGCAACGTCGCCGATAGCCGGCTGAAAAAGCTTGGATTATACGCCTCAGCTGTGTTGGCTCATACTCAAACTCTGGCGCTCAAGTCAAGGATTATCAAAATGAACTTCTGGTGGAAGATAACCCAGAGATGCATCATCGCGTTGTCATGCCAGGATGTCAGACGATCAAGCAACATGACGGTGCAATATTGGCTTTGAGAGACAGTCGCGTCCTTGTACGCATTGTACTCGTCCAGCGTGATGGGGACAAAGCGATTGCCCTCCATGCACGCGACTACTGGAGCCCGTTCTCTTGATCTCCCCAAGCCAGCACGAAGAATCGCACCAGGGTGCGAAAGGCAAACCGTGCCAAAAAGGAACAGGGAGAAGACGGGGACGGGGGAGACTGGGGAGAAAGATAGGGGAACAAGAAAACGGCATTCGACGAGCGCGTTGCACTACTCGCAAAGTAACTACTCGCAAATGGCCTGGATCCCCCGCGGGGGAACTACGATAAACTCCATCAAAACAGACATGTGTTTTTCGGACGTTTGAGAGTAGGCATTTTGCGAGTAGTGGAACGCGCTCGGCGAGGCATAAACATAACTGCTGGAGGTCCGCGTGGATTTCTGGGATTCTGGCTGAGCCCCCCTCCCTGGCGCGCGGAGCGCGCCAGGGGCGGCGCCGGAGGCGCCGCCAGGGCGGGCCAGCGCAGATCCAAGAAATCTGCGCGGACCTCCAACGGTTTATGCTTATGCCACTTGTTTCTTCGAAGGGAAGACGGGGAGAGGGGACAGCGCGGAATGTCGTCCCGTGCGCCAGCTGCCTGCTCAGCGCCTTGCAGTCACATCCTCTCGCCCCGCAGCCTTCGTCGCCTTGCCCTGCTCCCGTCGCCTTCTCGACTGCGGCCCTCATGCGAGAACAAAAAGGGCGCGGGGTGGGTCGCGGAGGACGACATACGTTTGCCAGGGAAGACGCGGGGCTCTGGCCCCTGCCCTGTCTCATAGACATGGCCTACTGTGTACCGATGCTGTGTGAGGAGAAGCCACATCGACCTCGAGCCAACGAAGGAAGCCCAGAGCCAACACTTCTCAGAAGCCCATCCACCCACCCGCGCACAACACCCAGGGCGGAAGCAGGTAGGCCACAGGGAGGAAAAACGAGGACGGTCCTGATAACGAGCGTACGAACACCCACGGGGGCCAAAGCCTGAACTTGCGGGGCAGCGGCAACCCTACATTTAGCTCGGGCGTGTCCTCCTACAGGGGGATGTTGGACGACAAAGAAAGAAGAGTCCAAACATATGCCAGCAGAGCTGAAACATAGGCAAACATCGTCCCCAGAGTTGTTTTTGTTTTTTTTGTTTTGTGTTTATTTTGTTTTCCTTTTTTTGATATATATATATATATATTGAATATTCCTCCTGTAGAGGGACACGCCCGACTTAACCCTACATCCCTCCGCAGCGTATGCAGAACATGGCCCCCGCAGCGCGCCGGCGCCCCCGCGGGGGCCCCAAATATAGGCCCCTGCTCGCGCCAGAGCGGGGGAGACCTCGCAATCGCTCGGACGTCCCTTCCGTGTGCTTTTTGTCGGTTTCGTGCGTGGCTTCTTCGCCAAATGATCAAGGATGCTCCTCGATGGTCCTCGCCGAAGGAAAACTGCACACGTCCGAGCGATGCCGAGGGGGAGGCCTCGCGGTCTCCCCTGGGAGCCCACAGGCCGCGCTGCGGGCGTCCCTGAACACTGCCCTCCTCTGGTCGCGGGGGCTGCGGGCCCGCTGGGCCTTCCAAGCTCCGCCTCAAGTCGGGCACGTCCCTCTACAGGAGGGATCTTCAAAACTGGTCAGGAAGTCTGAATGCGGGATGACGATTTACTAAAAATGGGAGAGAACGATTAAAACAAAAAAAACTAGTTTTCTGTTATGTCTGCACAGTTCTCTGACTGGAGGAGAACGATTATCCCGGCAAAGCAACCTAACAGCGATGTGTAGAAGCATATATGGAAGCATTCCCCTTAAGATTCAAATGAGAATCCAGTTGTAGAGTTCTGCTGTTCTCGCAGTCGCAGTCGCATTCGCGATGGCAGTCGCAGTGGCAGCGGCAGTCGCAGTCACAGCCTCAGCCTGCCTCAGTATCAGCCTGCCTCAGCCTCAGCCTCAGCCTGCCTCAGCCTCAGCCTCAGCCTGCTTCAGCCTCAGCCTCAGTCTGCCTTCAGCCTCAGCCTCTGTGACTCAGCCTGCCTCAGCCTCAGCCTGCCTCAGTATCAGCCTGCTTCAGCCTCAGCCTCACAGCCTGCCTCAGCCTCAGCCTCAGCCTGCTTCAGCCTCAGCCTCAGCCTGCCTCAGCCTCAGCCTGCCTCAGCCTCAGCCTCAGCCTGCCTCAGCATCAGCCTGCCTCAGTCTCAGCCTCAGCCTGCCTCAGCCTCAGCCTGCTTCAGCCTCAGCCTCAGTCTGCCTTCAGCCTCAGCCTCTGTGCCTCAGCCTGCCTCAGCATCAGCCTGCATCCGCCTCAGCCTCAGCCTCAGCCTCAGCCTGCCTGCCTCAGCATCAGCCTGCCTCAGCGTCTGCCTCAGCCTGCCTCAGCCTCAGTCTGCCTTCAGCCTCAGCCTCAGCCTCAGCCTGCCTCAGCATCAGCCTGCCTCAGCCTCAGCCTCAGCCTCAGCCTGCCTCAGCCTCAGCCTGCCTCAGCGTCTGCCTCAGCCTGCCTTCAGCCTCGGCCTCAGCCTCAGCCTGCCTCAGCCTCATCAGCCTCAGCCTGCCTGCCTCAGCCTCAGCCTCAGCATCAGCATCACCATTCTCAGCCTCTGCATCAGCATCAAAATGTGGCCCGGGAATGGAGTTCTGGAAACTCGAAGAGCACGAAGTGGCCTACAGCTGGCTCCGGAATTCAAAATGTGGCCCAGGAATGGAGTTCTGGGCGCTCGAAGAGCACGAAGTGGCCTACAGTTGGCTCCGGGCATTCAAAATGTGGCCCGGGAATGGAGTTCTGGGCACTCGAAGAGCACGAAGTGGCCTACAGTTGGCTCCGGGCACAAAATGTGGCCCGGGAATGGAGTTCTGGCTCGAAGAGCACGAAGTGGCCTACAGTTGGCTCCGGGCATTCAAAATGTGGCCCGGGAATGGAGTTCTGGGAACTCGAAGAGCACGAAGTGGCCTACAGTTGGCTCCGGGCATTCAAAATGTGGCCCGGGAATGGAGTTCTGGGAAGTCGAAGAGCACGAAGTGGCCTACAGTTGGCTCCAGGCATTCAGAATGTGGCCCGGGAGTGGAGTTCTGGGAGGTCGAAGAGCACGAAGTGTGTGACTGTTTGCGAAAAGCGAGTTCGGACACGAGTTCGGACACAGCTCCCCGGATGCCGCCCAGACCCCCCTGTGGAGTCAGCTGCTGCTCTCTTTTGAGTCCACTAGAAACCTATCAGCATAAGCTGTTAGGTAATTTTAAAAATAGGTTTCCAGCCCGCGGCCGGTTTTTTCTAATCGTCATCTTGGGCGCCGCCACGTGAACACGACCCCCGGTCATTTATTAATCGTCATCCTCCATTATGTGGGCGACTGTTTGACTATGGTGGACCATCTTGGGGTATTTCTTGACTGTTCTGCACTTTTCGGCCAAAATCCACCTGAAGTGGGACACGCCCGACCTACAGCACCGCGGAGGGTGATGGACTCCGTCGCCATGCGAGCGCAGCGCCGACAGCGTGTACGGTCGGACTTGGCTGGACAGAACACGCGCGAGGACGCAGGACCCTTCCGAGGGCCACATTGCCACAGGAATGTGAAAGGCATGGGTCGCGAGGCACAGGACACCAGAGTACCCTTGATTGGGCAGGGTCGACCTACCAATCCCGGCCGACTGCACAGAGACCCCGCGGCGCCCCAAGTGCGCCCCATGCCAGAGCCGACCCGCGACCTGCCTGCGGCTCGCCCGCGGCCCGCTCGCCGCGGCCGGCCGGGCCCTTCGGGTCGGGCGAAAGGGGGGGATAGCAAAGGGGGGGTTTGAGAAGCAGCTCACGTAGCTGATTTTCCCGGCGCCTCCCGGCGCCAAGAGGCGCCCATGTATCGAGGAATGGGCCCGGCGGCGGGGCCGAAACCAGCTGCATGCAGCAAATTTCGCAACCCCCCCTTTCCCAATCCCCCCCTTTCGTCCGGCCCGAGCCCTGGCCGCGGCCGGGCCCAGCGGACCGGCGAGGCAGCGGGCCCGGGACGCGACACCTGCGAGAGCGTTGAACGCCCCGATGAGCGGCCGCGGGGCGCTCATGCGCAATGCAGGCAAGTTCGCCGGGGACGCGTGGCCTGGGGCGCGCTCCTCCCCCTGCTTGCCTCCCTTTCCCCTCCTCGCCACAGGGCTTCCTTAGGGGGCAAACAAACCTACCTCGCTTTTGACCACCCTCGCTTCCAAGAGGTACCAAGCGATGCCAAACTACGGCCTGTACTGGTGAGGCCGCTTGACGAGGAGGCGCGTGGTATGACTTGGTTTTGCCTGGAAGCGAAAGCGGGGTAGGTAATTCACGCTCTGATTCTTCGCGCTTGAAAGAAATGAGAGCGTTGCGACGGTAGGCCCTGGCCGGGACCCGCACGCTGGCCATACTCGGAGGTCCCGCTCGCCGACCACTTGCCGTATACTTCCCTGGGTGCCAATCGCTTCCTGCTTGAAGCTGGTGAGGCAACTGGGCAAGCTTCTGAAAAGACTTCTGGGCTGGTGAAGACTAGTCAAACTCGTCAGAACAAAAACGTTGGGCACCGATACGAAACTCAGTGCAACTGCAATGACGGGGGCCACAAGAACATGTAGCACCGAGAAGCCGCACGAGCAACTCGGGGCTGCCGTCACAACTACCCTTGGCGCACGCGACTCGTAGGACCACTTCCGCGGCTCCCAAACGCAAACCGCACGCGCCCGAACCCGTGAAGCTAACAAACAGCCCTGACCTTCGAATTGCTGAAATCACCCATGCACGGAGCTCTGGAGCTTGCCCGACCCCATCGCACACAGCAGGCACATTCGATCAGAAATCTTGCTGTTCGGAATCTCTGGACAAATCGTTCTTCGATCTTTTTGGCTCTCACTGGGCAAGCTCCAAAGCGACATGCTGGAGCATGCCAGGTCAAGCGACGCCGGAGCGGTCGAGCAATCCGATACTCGTGATCTTGGGACGTTGTTGGCCCTCACCACGTCAGCAGGTCTGTGTCTTCTTCCCTTTCTATGACCTCAGCAGGACTCGCCGCGGCCCACGCGGGTCTGGGGGAGACCGCGCGCGACTGCAAAAGCACCACGGGACACCACGTCTCTACAGGCCCCCTTGCCGAAACCCTACAGTCGGCCCGGATTGGCAGGTCGACCCTGCCAAATCAAGGGTACCCTTGTGTCCTGTGCCTCGCGACCCATGCTTCCTATACATTCCTGTGGCACTGTGGCCCTCGGAAGGGTCTTGTGTCCTCTCGCGTGTCCTGTCCAATCAAGTCCCAATCAAGTCCGACTGTACAGTGAGGGCGCGGCCACAAAAACCCTCGCAAGAAACGCAACCCTGAAAACCCGTGCGCGAGGTGCACCCGACGGGAAACCTGGAGCGCCCTGAACGCAGCAGCTTCTTCAACGGCTGCGGGAAGTCACCGCGCAGCGGGCGGAGCGAAGAAACCCAGGATACCCTGACGAGAAGCACATGGTTTCTTGATGCACGCCCCCACTGTGCAGCCCCCACGCTGGTCCTGGGCAGGCTGTGCTGTCCGGCGGAAATCGGGGATCTTCTGACCCGGGTCAATCCAGACCCGGTCAGCAGGAAACCAAAAACTGCAGTGCAGGAAAAAAAACTGCAATGCAGGTCTTCGCAAACCCGGGTCAGCCAATGGGCGCGGCCGCCTCGCGGCCACGAGCGGCTCGCTAACCCGGGTCGGCCAGAGGGGTTCTTCGCAAGATCCTGCAGGATCCGGTGCCCTGGCTGACCCCCGTTTGCATCGACCCCCGTCTCTTGAGCCCCGAGGAAAGGGGACGAGGAGGGGAGCAGCCGGCAGAAGACGACGCGCGCCCCAGGCTCCCCAGCTGGGAGGCGACAGCTTCCCCGAGGGGGGGACACCTGCTGGCAGCCCGACTTCTTATAGTTGACGTGCTGGCTCCCACCCAGGTGTGTGGCCGCGGCGGGCCTGCTTCCAGGAGAGAGGAAACACACAGCCACAATGCATCGCCGATCCCCCAGAAAATCGGAGAACATCTGGGAAGTGGCGGGGAAGACAAACACCCCGAAAATATGGGAATACGGGGGATCCTGTTATTTGTGGCCAGTTCTTCGTGTGCCCCAGGGCCCCTTTCAGTCTTCACCTAGAGACCTAGAGCGATCGCTCCCCCGGGCGCTATAGTTTGCCGAACCATGACGCCTGCAAGGATTCTTCCGCCGCGCCAGAACTGCAGGGGCCCTGGGACACACACACACACACACACACACACACACTAATAACCGGACTCCACATATTCTCCAATATCTTCTGGGTTTCTGTCTTCCTCCCCCCCACTTCCCATAGTTTCCCATCTTTTCGGGGGAAGCGACGATGAATGGTTTCTGTGTGCTTTCTTTCCCTCCTGAAGAATCGTGTCGGGCGAAAGGGGGGGATAACAAAAGGGGGGTTTGAGAATCAGCTCACGTAGCTGATTTTCCCGGCGCCTCCCGGCGCCGGAGGCGCCCATGTATCGAGGAATGGGCCCCTCGGTGGTGCCGAAACCAGCTGCATGCAGCAAATGTCGTAACCCCCCCTTTCTTTCCCAATCCCCCCCTTTTCGCCCGACCCGCAAGAACCCTGGGGAGGGCAGCGACAAAAGCAGAGGGGCTCCTTGGCAGACCATGTAGCCGGTCGGCGCGCCCATCCCCTGCCAGGCGGGATTGCCAAGCGCACGCAAGTACGACGTCGACGCGCGGGCACCGATCCTGGCCAGCCCGATCCCAGGCCCAGCGTGAAGACGATGTTCAAAAATAATCAAAAAATCAAATGCTCAAACATAGTTTTAAAAGATAGTTTCAAACATAGTTCAAATTGTTTACAAAATACTCAAAAATTGTTCACCAAAATAATTTAAATGCCTGTCCCTCTACAGGAGGAAATCTTCAAAATAGTCATTGCAAAAAATAATGTGGGGACCATGTTTTGAATATGTTTTGACAAAAATCCCCCTTCAGGGGGACACGCCCGACTTAAGCCCAGCGCCATGAGCGCCCCTCCGACGGGGGCTCCACGAGCGGGCACTTGGGCCCGTGGCCCGGCAAACAGTGGCGCCCGGCGAGCCCAATCCTCCCCGACGTGGGCAGCGCTGCAGTGCCAGAGAGAGGCCCCCGAGAGTGGCAACGTTTGGCAACTTGCCAAAGATGTGGGCAACTAGGGGAACGAAGAGTGACATAAGCATAAGCACTCGGAGGTCCGCGCGGATTTCTCGGATCGGCGCTGGACCCCTTCCCTAGCGCGCGGAGCGCGCCAGGGGCGGCGCCGGAGGCGCCGCAAGGGGATCCAGCGCGGATCCGAGAACTCCGCGCGGACCTCCGAGTTTTCCTGTATACGTATGTAAGTCTTCGTTCCCCTAGCAACGCTGCGATGCCAGAAAGAGGCCCCCCAAAGTGGCAACTTTCGGCAACTTCACAAAATACCCGCTAGCGCGCACCCGCTACGGAGGAAGAGAGGGCGAGGACAGGACAGGACATCCGCATAAGGGGGCTCGACGTCAAAACACCTACGCTGGTGCCTTGCGCGCTTCTGACAAAATCCCCTGCGATTGGTTGTGCAACGGCCCTGCCTTCTCACTAGGCTGGCAGGGGGCGGGATGGCGAGGAAGGGGAGGAGGAGGAGGAAGAGGAGGAGGAGGAGGAGGAGGAGGAGGAGCAGGAGGAGGAGGAGGAAGAGGAGGAGGAGGAGAAGGAGGAGGAGGAGGAGGAGCAGGAGGAGACAGGAGGAGGGGAGGAGGAGGACGGGTCGCCGAAGCCCTTCAAAGAAACCCTCCAGCCGCTGACGCCCCTCGGTTGCCAGGGGCCGGGGGGGGGGAGCGGAGGCACCAGCCTCGGCCCCAGGACTAAGGGCCACATGCGAACCCTACCCCTAACCCCTACGACTTCTGAGGGGGAGAAGGTGGGGTTCACTTCGCTCGGGAGCTCCCGAACGAAGTGAACCCCACCTTCTCCCCCTCAGAAATCGTGGGGGGTAGGGGTAGGGTTCGCATGTGGCCCCCTGAAGACTGTCAAGGCCTGGACCGGCCTGGCGCAAACCTTCTCGACAAGCCGACCTTTTCTCGGAAGCTGGGCGAGGGCTGTCAGCCACGCGCAGAAGGGAGTGGGGGGAGGGGGGAGGGCTTCCGAGAAGCATCCCTGCTTCTTAGAAGGCGCGGTCCTTATCTGTAGATGTAGGGCCGGCGCCTTCTAAGAAGCAGCCTCCTTCTAAGAAGCCTTCCCCCTCCCTCCACCCCCTTTTGCGCGCCGCCAAGGCTGGCAAATCCCTGGTTGATAAAACGGTCTTCCCGGAAGAGAGACACAAATCCCCAGAGCAAAACTCCGCGCACTGAATAAGCCTAATAAGCAACGGGCTGCCTCCCGGAAGAGTGGAACAGCTTCCCGGAGCTCCGTCGTAGCAGCCACGGGCTTGCCAGCCTTCGCCCGGCGTCTGATTCTCCCTTCCGCCATGCCTGTCAAGTCATGGCCGAAGGGAAGCAGCAGGGGGACGCCTGCTCTGGTCGGGGAGACGTGAGACTCGGATGTACGGGGGACTCGGGTTGGCCTTAGGTCGGGCATGTCCCCCTGCAGGAAGATCCTGGGCGAACAATTAGGAACAGTCAGAACAAATCACCCAAATAGTCGAAAAGAATCAGAAAATCGTTCCCAAACTATGTGTTTGACTGTTTTTGAATATTTCTCCTGTAGAGGGACATGCCCGACTTTAGGTTGGCCCGACGGGGCCATCATGAAAATGACGAGACCCAATCTGAAGTGTGACCCGAACTCCCGCTGCAAATATCCCACGAAAACCGGAACGTCAAAATCCAAGACGCGCTCGTCAAAAAACGAAGGCAAGCCTGAGTTATGGCTCTCTCCAGTCTTACGTTTCCCCGATCTTGGCGGGACACGTCGACCTGGAATCGGCGATGCATCGTCGAGAGCTCGGCGATATATATATATATATATATATATACATATAATTATGTGTGTGTATATATATATATATATATATATATCTGCCCCTGATGGCGAGCCCGCGCGGTCCGAGGCGGGCTGCGCTGCCGGCGATGAACGGGCGCCTGGAGGTCGATTCGCCCCCCCCCGCCCCCCAAACCACCCCACACGAACGTTGTCCTCCCGAACCCCCACGCACGTTGTTCCTCCCGAGCCCCCACGACCGTTGCCCCCCCCACGAACGTCGTCCCCACGGGGCTGCTGCGCCCATCCCCCCCCCCCCGCACGTTGCCCCTGATGACCTGCCAAGATCCCTTAATAATCGTCCCCCGGGTCCGGTTTATTAAGGCGCCTTTTGTGGAAGCAGGGGAGTCCTGTTTATTAAGGCGTTTCTTGAAGCCGACGTTCAGGGGGGTCCGGTTTATTAGGGCGCCTTCTGGGTACTAGCCCGCGGAGTACTAACCATCACCACCATCAGCAGCATCATCATCGTCGTCATCCTTATCGTCATCGTCATCATCATGTTCATCATCACCATCATCTTCATCAGCATCATCATCATCATCATCATCATCATCAACATCATCATTATCAACAACATTTTCAACATCGTCGTCATCATCCTCATCTTCGTCGTTATCACCATCATCACGATATGATGCGGCGGTGGCAATGATGGTAGTCGTAGTCGTAGCTCTCGTATCGTCGTCGTCGTCGTCGTCGTCGTCGTCGCGCTCGTAATTTTGCTGGGGGGGGGGTCCGGAATATTAAGGCGCCCTCTGCGGGAGGGGGTCCGGAAAATTATGTCGCGAAGGAAGGGGGGGTCCGGTTTTTTAGGGGGGGGGGTCGATTATTAAAGGATCCAGCACGCCGACGTCGGCCCCAGGACCGGCTAGGCCTGGATCGGCCTGCTTGCGCTCACGCGGGGGCATGGCACGGAGGGGGGGGGGGCGGCGGCTTGGGAGCAGGGCGCGCCGCACCCCCAGAAACAATGGAGAGATGGGAGCCGCACACATACACAAAAGTACGCGGGCCATGTGTTAGGAAACAGCTCCTGGGACCTCTTCGCAAGATCGAGTGAGAGCGAGGACGCCCGACGAAGCGGCCATCGGACCGGATTGGGCCTGATCTGGCTAAGTCGGGTAAGAAACCATTCACCTGGATGGACGAAGCCAGATGAAACAGGATGCGCCGGACTGGGCCCGTGTTCGACCACGGATGTCCCCGCGCCGATGCTGCATCTGACCTTCCAGGAGTTGCGTCCAAACGCACGTGTGCACTTTCGGTGGCACGCCTCACGCTCGCGAGACTGCCCCGAAGAGAATGCCCCCCACACTGTACGCGGTGGTGGCGGCTGACGCAGTTTCGTGGTCATGTTCCCGCCCCCTGAAGACCCTAGGAGAGCCCTCCTCAGAAGAAGCCCTCCGGACCGCGAGGAGGAGGAGGAGGAGGAGGAGGAGGGAGGAGGGGGAGGAGGAGGAAGGAGGAGGAGTGCGGGCGATGAGGCCCGACGAAGCGGCCATTGGACCTCCGCCACCGCGGCCGCCCTCCTCTCTTCCGCGCACTCTGGCGCGCCCAGCGCCCGGCGCGGCCCGCGGGCTCCTCTGCGGGTCGCGCTCGCGCCCGCCAGCGCCGCCGACAGAGCAACCCATGCCACTTGTGCTTCCTCCTCTTCCTCTTCTTCATCATATTATTCGTCTTCTTCTCTCTCTCTCTTCGCCCCCATCGTACTGCTCTTACTTATCACGTTCAGATATTACACATATATTTCTCTTCTTCTTCCGCCCCCATACTACTACTATTCTCATTGAGTATGAATATTCCTCCTCCTCTTACTCTTCTTCTTCTTCTTCTTCTTCTTCTTCGTATTATTATTACTATCATGATTACTATTCTCTTTTTTGCCGCCCCCCCAGCCGACAACCCGCGCCCCCATAGCCCCCTCCACCCCCCGTGGGCCCGCGCGGGTGCCGCCGTGCCGCTCGCCGCCCGCCCCCCCCGCGCGGCCTCCTCGCACGCGTGCTCGGAGTCACACGCCGGCGGCCCCGGCGCTGCCTGGCGGCCCACGGGCGGCGGCCGAGAGGCCGCCGGCCGGGCCTCCTCGGCAGCCCTCCCGTGCCGCCGGTGCGAGCCTGAGGTGGGCGACTCCGAAAAAAAACGACGCGAGGATCGGGACAAAATCGGATCGGGATAACTCGAAGTCTCTGAGAATCGGCGGGTCTGGGGGATGTATTGGGCGCTGCGGCCGCTCCAGAGCGTTCCGGCACGCTCTGAGAGCGCTCCGGGACGCTCTGGAGCGATTTATCCCGAGCCTAGCCCTGTTTTAGGCCTGGCCTCCTCGGCAGCCCTCCCTGGAGGGAAGGAGGAACCGCCGGCGCGAGCCCTTGCCGTCGCTCGGACGCCCATTTCTCTTACATTTTTCGGTTTCGCGCGCGTTGTTTTTTGGCTCGATGGTCCAGGATTGTCCCGGATGGTTCTCGCCGAGAAAAAAAAAGCACACGTCCGAGCGATGCCAGGAGCCTGAGGTTGGCGACTCCGAAGGGTGCGGTTTGCGCAGGGTGTGGCTGACGACCGGCAGCCTGGGGGGCACCCTTGGGGGGCGGGCGGGGGCCTCGATCGAGCTCTCCGCCGCGCCCCGAGGAGGCCCGACGGTGGCAGTGTCGTGTCCCCAGGCCCCAACGGCGCCGATCGCAAACCACACCCTGGCTTAACCGCACCCTTTGTAGTCGCCGACTGAGGTCGGGCATGTCCTCCCACAAGCGGATGTGGGACGAAAAAAATCAAAATAGCCAAATCATAGGAAACAACGAGATCAGAGATAGTCAAAACATCGCCCCCAGACTATGGTTTGACTCTTCTCGACTACTCCTGCTGTAAAACAAAACACGCCCGACTTGACCCGAGCCCGCCGAGAACTAGTGAATCCGCACCTCCCTGTGCAGGTTGGGGCCATCGGGCCCCCATCGGTGATCAATGGGCAATTGGGGGTCGATGCACCCCCCCACGTGGCTATCCCCCCCTATCTTGAGGGATGAAAAAAAGACCCCACCCTGGGTTGCAAGTGTAGAAACCTCCTAGATCGGGTCCGAATAGATGGGGTCCAATGATCGCGCCGCATCGCCAGTGCATCGCCGACATACCGGCGATGCATCGGCGATGCATCGGCGACGTCGGCGACGTCGACGTGAAGGCAATCGTGTTTCACGTCGAGCCGTACCGTCGATGCATCGGCGATGCGGCGCGATCCTCCGACCCCATCTACTCGGGCCCCATCTATCGGGTGTTGCTAGAAGTACCCCTGGCCCAAGGTGCCCCCAGCTTTTCGCTCCATCTTGGAGCCCCTGGGGCCCTCTGGGCCTCGTGAGGGGTGCTTTGGAAGCCGCTTGGGCTACCCCGAGAATCCTGGGGGCACCTTGGCCCAGGGGCACTTCTAGCAACACCCAAATCTAGGAGGCCTAGAAAAGTGCGTGACCCGAGCCCGCCGGCGCGAGCCGCCGGCGCGAGCCGAGCGACACGGCGAGCGGCGCGCTCCGGCGGCGGCGGGGGCGCAGGCCGGCCGCCGCCCTCGGCGAGCGGCCGCCGCCGCCGCCAACCGGGCGACGACGGGGAGGACGAGCGACGACGAGCGACGAGGAGGACGAGGAGGACGAGGCGAACGAGGAGGACGAGGCGGGGCGAGGAGGACGAGGAGGGCGAGGCGAACGAGGAGGACGAGGAGGGCTAGGAGGGCGAAGCGGGCGAGGAGGGCGAGGCGGGCGAGGAAGGCGAGGAGGACGAGGCGGGCGAGGAGGTGGGCGAGGAGGACGAGGCGGGCGAGGAGGACGAGGAGGACGAGGCGGGCGAGGAGGACGAGGAGGACGCGGAGGACGGGCCGCCGCCGGCGGACGTCGCAGGCCGTCGCAGCCGCCGGGCGCCGCAGGCGGCGCTGCGGAGCAGAGCCCGCGTCGCCAACCGCCGCCGCCGCCCACGGTCAGGAGGCAGCTCCGAGGGAGGTCTCCGTCGCGAGGACACGTACAGTCGGGGCCCTGAAGAAGGAACCCTTTTCGTTGGGGAGGGGCTCGGTGTTCCATGGTTGTTCTGCAGTTTGCCTTCGGTTTTCCTGAGATTTCCCATGGGAAATGGAAGTTCAACTTATGGGAAGAAGGGGCCTCGTTCCTTATTTAGGGTTCCTTAGGTCAACGCCCCGACTGTAGGGGCGATGCAGCCAGATTCAGGGGCCAGTGAGCCCGATCTGGCACGATGGAACATATCAGCAGAGCCGCGTGTGGAAAAGGGAAATTCAGGCAGGGCGCCTGGAGTCAGGAAGCAGCTCCGAGGAGGTCCTCGCAGGGACGAGAAAAGGCAATAAAGCCAGCGCAAGGGGTGAAGCCAAAATTTTTAACCGGAATAAAGCCTAGCCAGGACGTGTAAAACGAGAGTCAGCGGAGTCCGGCGGTATTGCAACAGATTAGGCCAGTGTTCGCCCAGGGACATCCCAGCGCCGACTCTGAGCTGAGCCTCCCGGGAGCTGCATCCCGAGGTGGGGACCTGGAGACCCCCTCCCCTCGCGCAGTGCAGAGATCGCGAGGGGAGACGTTCGGCAGTGCTCGAGCCCCGAGGGCCCCTGCTGGGCCTGAGGGGGGAGCGTTCAAGAGCGACTCGGGACGAAAGGAATGCCCCTGGCCATCGCTCGGACGTCCATTCCCTGTGTTTTTGCGTGGCTTTTTTTCGCCGAATGAGAAAGGATGCTCCTCGATGGCCCTCGCACAAGGAAAAATGCACACGTCCGAGCGATGCCGAGGCCCTGGGCAGCGGTCGAGGCGCGAGGGGCGAACGACACCGGGGGCCTCTCGCCGTCGCTCGGACGTCCCTTCCCCGTGCCTCGCTCGGCGTCGTGCGCGCGCATCTCTGTGTGCCAGGGTGCTCCACGCTGCTCCGCGAGGGGGCCGGGAATCCCAGCCCCCGAGGGGATACGGGGGAGGCCGGGAGCGAAGACGAGACAGGCGCAGCTGAAGGGGAACTGGGATACACACACACACACACACACACACACACACACACGTAAATAGACACAAACAACCATATTCCCCACACTTTCAAACATCTTCTGGGCTGGGGAATCTACGATCCATTTCTCATCTGTTCTGGGGAATCGACATCCATTGTGCCTGTGTGGTTTTTCCCCTCCTGCGCAATCCGCTGGGCTGCGGGAGCTGCCGTACATGGACATTACATTCGAACCCTGTGGCCCAAGAACCCCCCCCGAAATTAATATCGATGGCGTGGCGACGGGGGGGGCGTGAGTGGACAGAAAGATTCGAACCCCAAAGCACCGCCTTTACTGCGATCAGCATTGATGTCGGGGGCGCGGGGGAGATTTAGAATCTCCCTCGAATGTGTGAGGGTTCGAATATAGATTGTCCATCTACTGTGCCCCCGGCGCCCCCCCCCCCAAGGCCGACCCCCCGATCCCCCCCCCCAGCTTGCCGCCGCTCGGACGGCCGCTCCCCGTGCGCGTGCCGGCCTCGTGCCTTTTTGTTGTCGCTGTTGTTGTTGCTGCTGCTGTTGCTGTTGCTGTTGCTGTTGCTGTTGCTGCTGCTGTTGCTGTTGCTGTTGCTGTTGCTGTTGCTGTTGCTGTTGCTGTTGCTGTTGTTGTTGTTGTTGTTGTCGTTGTTGTCGTTGTTGTTGTTGTTGCTGTTGCTGTTGCTGTTGCTGTTGCTGTTGCTGTTGCTGTTGTTGTTGTTGTTGTTGTCGTTGCTGTCGTTGTTATTGTTGTTGTTGTTGTCGTTGCTGTCGTTGTTGTTGTTGTTGTTGTTGTTGTTGTTGTTGTTGTTGTTGGTGTTGTTGTTGTTGTTGTTGCAGGGCGAGAGTAGGGGAACAGAAAGTCACAGAAACATGAAAACTCGGAGGTCCGCGCGGATTTCTCGGATCGGCGCTGGGACCCCCCTCCCTGGCGCGCGGAGCGCGCCAGGGGCGGCGCTGGAGGCTCCGCCGGGGGGCCCCAGCGCCGATCCGAGAAATCCGCGCGGACCTCCGAGTTTTCATGTTTCTGTGACTTTTTGTTCCCCTAGTCGTTCCCCCCACTCCGCCCACGAGCAGGGGACAGGGCGAGGGGGCCGCTGCTGCAAGACGGACTGGAGGGGCCCTGCAGGAGACACACAGAGAAACAGCCACGAAGAGAAGGATTCACCGTTTCGTTTCCCGTATTGTCTGAGGCTGTGTCTTCCCCCCCGCTTCCCAGATGTTCCCATAACCCCAGGAAGCATTTAAGAACCCCCCCGGCGATATCGTAGCACCGCATTTTTTATTGGATATTCCGAGGGGCCGAAATAACCGAACGATAGCTTTAGCATCCGGACACGAGGAGGGCTCCTGGTGCCAGGTAACGCTTCCAGGGTGCGGAAGGGTTATCGATTTGCCGGAGGGGGGGGGGGGGGGGGGGGGGGTTCTTAAATGCTTCCTGGGGTTAGTTTCCGGGGAATCGGCGATGAATTGTGCGTGTCTGTGTGTTTTTGTTCCCCTCCTGACTGACGTCTTCCTGGGAACCCATAACGTCGACGAGCTGTCCCTCGGCCCCCCGGGGCCTCCGCCGTGCGCGTGCGCGCGCGCGCGCCACGCTGCCGCGCACGTGCCGCGCTTCTCCGCCGCGCGCACGTGCCACGCTGCTGCGGCGGAGGCCCGCCACTGCGAAGGAGTAGGAGGAGGAGGAGGAGGAGGAGGAGGAGGAGGAGGAGGAGGAGGAGGAGGAGGAGGAGGAGGAGGGAGGAGGAGGAGGGGAGGAGGGAGGAGGAGGAGGGAGGGAGGAGGGGAGGAGGAGGGAGGAGGGGGGCGAGGCGCGGGGGGGGCGGAGGGAGAGAACAGGGGGCTCCGGCTGTGCCTCCTGCCCCAGCTCGGTACTCGGATGGGAGCAGGGTGTGCTGCGGCGGTCCGAGGGTGCGGCCCTGCCAGGACTGCGACGTGCCCCGAAGACCCCCCGATCCGCAGTCCGAGGATCGAGCCCTTTTCAGGCTTCCCTGGTTTTACGTTCGGACCTGAAATCAGATGATGGGATCCTCCAGGATCGGATCCGACC